GGGGGGGGGGGGGGGGGGGGAGGAGGGTTGTTGTGAAGAGGTGTGAAGGGGTTGGGCACGGGTTTGATAAGATGGAGGGGGAGGAGGAGGGGAGGGCGAGGGAGGAGGCGTATGGGGTTGTTGTTGAGTTTTTGAGGGGGGTGGTTGGGGAGGGAGAGGAGGGACGCTTTTGAGGATGTTGGTTTTATGTAAGTGCAACGATTGGTATAATGTAACCGGCGTGAGAAGGCGAGACTGCGTATGTTAGAAAAGTCTGTTGGCATATCGGTTGAAGCAATCATAGAGCGCTGACACTCGGGATCTCCCCACTTATGACCGAGGAATTACAAATGCGTACTTCTGCTCAGTATGTCGAATCCAAGGCTTGAAGAGCAAATCTTGACGGAAAGAGCCTTTCCTTGCATTGTTCTGACGACGTTTGATGGTCTCGCCACTTCTATCTTATACAAGCTTAACATCATTTACATTGATGTCGACAACCTGCAGAACCGACTGACTGGGGGCCTACAACGTAACGGAGTCCTCGGGGAAAGCTTCTAATGTCCAAGCATCCTCTCTGTACGTTTATCAACACCAAAAATTCGGCCCTTCTCTTCTCGCAAGCAATGAGATGCCGATCCCATACGACGAGTTATTCGGGCTAACGGCATCTTTGAGCAGCCCGTTTCGGGGACGGGTTGTAACCTCGTCTGAGCGAGCGATTTACGATAGCGTATACTAGAAATCGGACATCTGGCAAGGCGACGATTGAATCCGGGATGTGAAAGAAGATAAACGAGCCCCGGCATTCGTCAAATACGAATGCGAGGCGAGTGGCTTAGTTTCCCGCCTGGAAGCTCGCGGCGCGGAAATTGGAGAAATTGGCTCAAGCGTAGCGATGCCAAGAATTCAAAGCCTCAATTTGACCTGATTTTCTCAGTGAAAGCCGTATCGGTCAACCCAGCGACTTTCAATGAGAAGCTCGAAGGAATCTTTATAAAGAGAGACCTCTGGGTACATTGACTATCAAACACAAACACTCATCTTCAAGCTCGCAGTCACAGTTACAAAACTTCATGATGAGTGTCTCTACCAGATTCAGTATTGCTCTCCTGGCGTCGGCGTCCTACTTCCATTCCGTCGCTGGCCAATTTGTAAGTCTCCCATGTGTGTACCCTGCGGGAAGTGATATCGACAGTATAATCTAACAGTCTCAGGCTTCACCATCACCGCTGGAAGACACTGGAGTAGTCCTCGAAAGCCAGAACGTCACCGCCGAGTTCTTCATCGGAGCTCCTGCTCAAATTCAAGCTCTCTCAAAGAAGACTCGTTACATCCCAGATGTTGTTGGCTTTCACCAGGACGGCGGCAACACCAGAACCAACGACTGGAACGGCCCCCTCGGCACATCGCCAAACGTCTCCAGTCGCTCTGTTGCCATTTCTGCCCAGTACTGGCATGGCGACAACCGCCTCACGGCGCGCTCCGTCTGCACCGATGCCGCGGAGCCCTACTTCTGCATCGCGGCATTTGATCCGGACTCCATGGACATGCTGGGATCCTGGGCCCCTGAAAGCCAGACCCTGCTGTCTCCCTACGCCGCAGTTTCCGGAGACATGGTCATTCTGCCGACGATGGAGAGGCACATTTTCCAAGTCGAGCGTGTTGATGGGACAAACTCCACGACGTTCAACCAGGTCCGAGACATTGACCTCACTGCCGTCCTCCCTCAAGGTCATGGTGTCGTGAGCAGCTATCTCGACGAGGACGAGAACATATGGTTCACATCAGTCGCTCTCATGACCACCGGCACCGCCGAAGACTCCTCACGTCTCGGGTACATCACCCCCAACGGAACAGTCCACACCATCGCCATCGACGGCCAACGAATCGAAAACTCGATCGCCGTAAGCGGAAGGACAGTCTACCTCAACACCGGACCTCTCGCGTCCGACACCGCACGAAGCACCGTCGGCCACATGTTCGCTTTCCGCGCGGATGCAAGTGACGGGCACATCAAGGCTCTGTGGAACACAACCTACGACGCGGGCAGCGCTCCCAAGCCCGGCGGCTTCTCGCAAGGCTCCGGATCGACACCGGCCCTCATCGGAGACAGATACGTCGCCATCACCGACAACGCCGACTTGCAAGTCAACCTGCTGATATACAGCCAAGTCGATGCCAGCGCAGGTGGCCTCGCAGACGGCCAGCCGCCGCTGGTCTGCGCAGTCCCGCTGTTCCAGCCCAACGGCAGCGCGAACGAGAACGCCATGGTCGGCTACTTTGACGGGTCGACGTACAGCGTGCTAGTGAACAACAACCACGGCGCGCCGGAGCTGCAGGACCTCGGCGCGGCGGGGGACGTCAACGGGGCGTTCAACGACTTCGCGCCGCTGGCGCCGGGGATCACGCGCGTGGACGTCGCTGCGGACGGGAGCTGCGCGGTGCGCTGGGCGCTGGATGTGCGCTCGACGAGCGTCCTGAGCCTGTCGACGGCGAACGGGCTCGTGTACTCCTACACGCAGGACGAAGAGCTCGCGGGCAGGGGGCTGTATGTGTGGTACTTCACGGCGATCGACTTCCGGACCGGAGAGGTTGTCTGGCGGATCCGGGCGGGGGCTGGGGGGCGGTATAATAATAATGTGGCGCCGACGCAGATGTCGCCGAATGGGGCGATTTACCAGGTCGTTGCGGGAGGTGTGACCTGGCTTAGTGATGATTAGATGTGTGACTTTCAGAGTTGCGCTTCGGTGAGTAATTAAGGGGGTGCGCCCTTTCGCAGGCGGCTGAAGATCAGCTTTGAACGTAGCAGTATCTAGCTTCAGTCAGATGTAAGATGCAAAATATGGTTGTTCGGGAGCCATCTGCCTGGCATTCAGGTCTGCCGTTAATGATTCTTATGGGAAGGTTGTGACAGACGTACGATCTGCATTGATGGCACAACACACAGCTCCGTGCAGCTGAGTACTATATGCACATCTGATGGCCAGGAAAAAACAATGTGTTTGGCTTCTAACCATATATTGGACAACATTGATGACCGACCGGGTTGGGCAGCTGCGTCTTAGTTCCGCGTACAGTTGAGACCACGCTGAATATCCCTGGCTTTTACGAGGAACCCAAGGCCTCTGTCCAAGTCATAACCTAAATGCCATGGGTACTTTGATTCAGACGCAAATAGTACCACTAGTCGGACTAGGTCTTGTTCTGTCTATAAGACAAGGCCTGTTCAAGTCAATGACCCCGTATTGGGTGTTGAGTTCATCCGTCTGAGAAATCTTCCTCGGGGAGGTTATTCTATTGACAAAATATTAAATCGTCAGGCTCCTACCCAAGGGCCTGATCGGCAGCTGAATTTGGAACTTCAGATGCAGAAGATCGGCACATTTCCCGCAGCATAAGTTAAGTGAAAGCTGTATATCAAGCCACTTGTACCGTGAATAGGGAAGACAAGACGCCCCTGAAAAGCGTCCAGAGCACGCGTTCAATGTTTGACCTTCGGCAGTTAATAGCCCAAAGTGAGCAATGACCCAGATACCATGCCTTCTTTATATATCCCAAATGCAGGTGTCACGTAAGATGTTGTAGTTCCTGTGCATCTCGTCACTGAGACGACGGAGCGCAGTGTTGGAGCCATGTTGATTGGACAGATTTGTGACTAAGGCTACTGATGCTAAAGAACACCATCACAGACTCGGTACTAGACTGCCTATCAAGGTCTAGGGGCATTCAACGCAACCCAATAATGAATTTCGAGGATGAAATATCATAAAAGGTGGCAATCACAGCACCCCTCAAATGCCATTCTTTGCCATGGATCGTCAACTGCGACACAACCGGGACAATGCAAAATATGGCAATTCAATGCTAAACGTCGCATCGAACTCCATTATTGCTGCAGTGTTTTAGATGGCATTACATAGTGAGCCAATAAGAGTAGGCCTCAGCACAGTATTCACATAAGGTTCTCAGCGAACAAAACTCAAGTCCACGTTCAATCTTGATGAACGGAAACACACAAACGTGGGTTTGTCTCAAAATGTCTACTGCCACGCTAATAACACCCTCAAACATCCGTCAATGGCTTCGAGGCTGCCGACTGGCCTCTGTCTCCCCGCCCTCCACCCAGCTTCGGTGTGCGAGTCGTCATAGTCGGCCCTGATTGCGTCTGATCCGAATACGTAGTCTGCGTTCGAGGCATTAGCCCATCAACCACCCCTGGCAAAATCATGTCACCATAGCTAGACCCAAACTGATCAGCATGCTGACCCTAAGCACGACCAACAATTAGACAGCAGCATCGATGCTTGGCAGGCATAGAAAGAAGCATAAATAGTTTTGTTTTTCCTCGCATTGGCGTAAGCCCCCACAAATTGGATCTAGCTGAGCTCAAATGGTAGGAGATAAAATCCTCGTCAAATGGCGGAGAAGTATTGTCTTGGCAATAGAGCTGAAGGACTGGAAAGACCGTGAACGATTCCCAGTTTGAAAAGACTACGGAGGAAGCGACGAAAGTCTGTCGAAGCATTTCCAAAAATATCTCAACGACATTCAATTCAATTGACCGCTTGGTGGGAAAGAAGCCCATTCACAACAGCGAAGAGGAAGCTGGCTGGAACAAACAGCAGTGAGTGGCCGCGCTGGTCCGACCAGTGGACTTTGCCAAGAACAAATATCGTGCTCAGCGACATTACACTTACCACATCGGCCCCAGCAACGCCCAATGGCATCGCCAAGTTGCCCGGTTGGGGTTGCGGGACTACCGGGTAGGGTGGCATCGAACAGCCGGGCCTAGCTGGGTTTGGCAGCTCCCTAAGCTCAGTCGGGCTTGGCGATCATGATAAGCTTAAATCTCCTGCCGCATGCTAGCCATTGCTCCGAGGGCAATATGAACGAACTGCCTCTTTGCTCGTCGGGGCCAATATAGAGCGCAATGGCGGAGGAGACCGCAGCTGGTTGAGATGCCTGTTTGGGGTAACGGGTCCAGCCGCCCTGCAGAACGATCCTCCACATCCCGAAGACAATGACGCCAGGTCGCGCGGCAGTCTCGTGAGGGCATTTTGTGTTCTTAAAGGGGCGCTGTCGCCGCCCAGCCTTTCTTCATGGCTTGAAAAAGTTGCTCTCGCTGTCGTCGCCTCTGCCTGCATCTGCCATCACACCCCGGACGCGCCCTTCAACACCAGGACAATGCATCTGAACTCCGCCCTCGCCATTCTCGCGGCCTCTTCGAGGCTCGCGCTGGCTTCCCCGGCCACCGACAAGATCGCGATTGACCCTGCGCTCCGCCTGATCAAGACGTCCGAGACCGACCCCGGCACCTGGGTCACCGACGAGCAGAAGATCGAGAACTACGTCAACAAGCACATCGGCTTTATTGACATCACCGATATCACCGTGAGAGACTTCACACGGCCATTTCTGACTGTTTACTGACTTGTATCAAGGATCCCGAGGTCCTCACTGCTCTGTCCACCCCGCCTGAGGCCGAGCTGGCCACGAGACAGTCTACCTACCCTACGACCCTGACCCACATCACCGAGGCCAACTCCCTGATTTCGTCTGTCTCCAACACCAACCCCCAGACTTGGCTCAAGACGTTGACCGAGTAAGTGTTTGAGTCCTCATGTTGTCCTCCCAGTGATACTAATCCACATTCGCAGCTTCTACAACCGCTACTACCGTTCTTCCTACGGCACTGAGGCGGCCACCTGGTTGTTCAACCAGGTCAAGTCCGTCGCCGCGGCCAACTCCGCCATCACGGTGTCGCAGTTCACCCACTCCTTCAGCCAGCCTTCCATCATCGCCAAGATCCCCGGAACCAGCTCTGACATCGGTACGCTGCTTCAATGATGCCAGCATCAGATCTTTCATGCTAACAAAGCGCAGTGATTGTCAGCGCCCACTTCGATTCCACCGGCGGTTCCTCCACTGCCCGTGGCCCCGGTGCCGACGACAACGGCTCCGGTGTCGTCGTCATCCTCGAGGCCCTGCGCGTCCTCGCCAACGCCGGCTTCAAGCCCCAGAACACCCTCGAGTTCCACTTCTACGCCGGAGAGGAGGGCGGTCTCCTCGGATCGCAGGCTGTCTTCGCCAACTACAAGTCCGCCGGAAAGACCGTTCTCGCCGTTGTTAACCAGGATATGGCCGGCTACTCACCCTCCGGGAAGGTCTCCGTCTACACCGACTACGTCGACTCTTCCTTGACCTCCTACGTCCGCCTCGTCGCTACCCAGTACACCGGCAGCACGCCGACCAGCGACTCCTGCGGCTACGGATGCTCCGACCACGCTAGCGCCCGCTCCAACGGCTTCCGTGAGTTTCACCGACATGCAGTAGTATATGTGAGAGCTAGTACTGACAGTTGTATACAGCCGCTGCCTATGTCTGCGACGAGCCCATTGACACCTCCAGCCCTTACATCCACAGCCCTTCAGACGTAAGTGTTGAGTAGTCTCGAGGAATCAGAATATTGTCTCTAACATGCCGTAGTCCTACGACACTATCATGTGGCCCGCCATCCTGCGCCACTCCAAGTTCACCGTCGGTTTCCTGGTCGAGGCTTCTTACCTGTAAATATTTCACAACCTGTGACTATACCACAGCAGCACATACATATTTTGCACACCGCATGTTGTCTCCAGTTGCGACTTCCGGTCCTTTGTTGATATCTACCCGGTCATCCGGTCCCACGTGTCATGACAAGTCGCCGCGGGCATAGTTCCCCGCCCAAACCTTCCCCATTTAGCTGGCTTTTCCCCCGGTGCAACTGCAGCCAAGTCACGCCTTACTCCAACCATCTCCGTCAATCGGACGTGGAGTAACCCAAAAAAGATTGTGATAGAGTTATCAGGCGGGCCTAGACTATCTAACAACTAGGTGTACTGCGTAGTACATATGTCAAGTGCAAGGCGTGCCCCACATGTCTTCTCCAACTTGAGACACAAAGGTTGGATCGCGTAATCTAGATGCACATATGACTCTTACCAGATGCCGTTCTCGGCCAGTCCATCGGTGACCATATATAAGAAGTCAGAACATGTGTAAAGCCACACTCTGAGGCAATGGTGGACACCAGGAATATTCCCGACTGAGCTTAATCTGAGTGCCGCGCGCGTTGAGTAGAAATGGGCAACTCTGAGGAACAAGCGCGGCCGACGTCTGCTCCAACATCGGCTCCTCCTCCGCCGGAGGTGATTGAGCTCGGGACTCCTCCGAGCGTACTGTCCGGTTCCAGTCAACGAGATCCCGAGTCCAGCCCGCTGGCATGGGTATGCGTTGTCGGGTCGTTCATGTTCCTCTACCCGAGCTATGGTATGTGCAGCAATCCCTTATCTCGCATGCGGCTTCTTCCCCAAAATATGCGATTTGCTGATGGTATTCAGGATTCATGCAGTCCGTTGGGACGGTGCAGTCGTATCTTCAATTGAATCAGCTGAGCGACTACACAGCTCGTGATCTCGGATGGATTAGCGGCATCTTCACCTCTCTAGGTCTCCTTCTCGGCATCCAGGCCGGCCCGCTCATGGACGCCTATGGCACGAGACTCCTAGCGCCCATCTCCGCAGCTACTCTTGTTCCGTTGTTCTTCCTCCTGGGCGAGTGCACAGAGTACTGGCACTTCATACTCTGCCTCGGAGTCTTGGGCGGCATCAGCAGTGCGCTCACTTCCACCGTTGCCATGGCCGTCATCGGCAAACTGTTTAGCCGCCGTCGTGGGCTTGCCATGGGTATGGCTCTCTCTGGGTCATCGTTCGGTGGCGTCACCCTATCAATGATGTTCCGTTCCCTTCTTCCCAAACTCGGATGGCAATGGACCATGCGAGCGACAGGTTTCCTCGTCCTCGGCATCATGGTATTGGGGGTGATTTGCTTCCTTCCATTTCCCACTTTGACTGCATCTTCATCCTCTGCTCCCCTAGGGGGTAAGGGTGCCACTCTGAACTTCTCGGCGTTCAAAAGTCCTCCATTCGACTTCATGACTATGGGTCTCTTTCTACTGGAATTTGTCCTTTTTGGTATCACCGGTCTTCTGCCCACCTTTGCCATAGTCGCTGGCTTCCCGTCCAGCATTGGGTTCTCTCTCATTGCCATTCTCAACGGATGTTCCTGCTTAGGTCGTATCGTTTCAGGCATGGCCGGCGACCGACTTGGCCATCTTAATGTACTGCTCTTTATGATTTTGTTCACAGTCAGTTTCACTGCAATCATTCTGGTCCCATTCGGAACGAAACACATCGGAGCGTTGTATGCCTTTTCTGCACTTTGGGGTATCGGTTCTGGATCCTTCCTTTCAATCACGCCTGGTAAGAGACCGTTTCCGAATGTGCTCCAGAAGACCCAAGACTGATGCAGTGTTTCATAGTGTGCATCGCAAAGACATGTGATCCGAAGGACTACGGAAGATACCTTGGTAAGATTCACCCTTAACTATGCCATTCCTCGAGCTATTCCGCTGATATTTCAATCAGGCACCATGAACTTTGTTGTCAGTTTCTCGCTTTTGATTACCGTGCCCATCGGCGGACAGATGTTGGAGTCTATGGGCGGAACTGCTCTGTCTGGCTTCTACGTGGCTGTTCTTTTCCTGGGCGGAGTCTCATACTTTGCTGGGCGATCTTTGCTAGTCGGTGGCTGGTTTACATTTAGAACTAGGATTTGATCATCTGTTTTCGGAAGGGTTGCCAGCGTGGAAATGCGCACAAGACTCATGGTTAGGGCTTACATTTCGTAAAAGTTGGCTAATGTAGGCTATGGGAAATTGTTTATAAACCAAGGCGCTTGACCTAGGGACTGGCGGCATGGCGGGCATTTGGTTAGAATTCACAGCGAGAAGGCCAAAATGGCTTTCATTACTCATGTGATACAGCGCATACAAATACTTGGCGCGGCGCGGCTTGCAGCGGGTGCAGTCGGTGTTTCACGGCAGTTGGAGCATGGAGGCTGTCATTTGCGCCTTACCAAGTTCCATGTCGTATCCGATGACCAGCGGCCGACCAGATTCCCCCCATTCTACGGAGAGAAGACCCGACTATCGGAGAAGCCGGCTTCCTTGCTCGACAATTCCTTACCTTAGCGGAACGGCGCCGGGTCCGCTTCTCCACTTTCAAGGCTCCAGATACCCTTCGGGGACGATGATGCAGTCCGGGCGTGCGGGGGCGTCCTATCTCTCCGAATCCTCGGCCTTATCATGCCGAAATCTTAGTCACAATGCCGCTCTCGGCGGCAGGCTGCGGGCTTAAAAGCCCCGCGGGATGACGACAGGTGCAGTCTGTGTTTCTGCTCTCGGTCTTCCATGATTCTGACAGAATTCAAAAGCGCCTACTCTACATCTACAATTCTCAAAGATAATGGGCGACGCGCAGGACATTCAAGGCGGGACCGGCGTCAGACCTCATCCCCTTGATCCTCTCTATCCGGAAGAGATAAGCACTGTACGTGTGCCAGCAAATGGTGACTTGAAAAGAATGAGTTCTGGTGAATTGACTTTCGTCTCGCGCGCAGGCGGCCGACATCATCCGGAGATCGGTTCAGAATGAGCAGGTCTTCTTCAGAGCCATCTCACTGGCTGAGCCTCCTAAGAAGGAGATGACAGCGTTCCTCGATGGCCAGCAAGCGGGCGATAAGGCTTTGGCACATCCAGTACGACGGGCTAGAGTTCAGGCCTACATCGGCAAGACGTTGCATGAAGTCATGATTGATCTGAATGCAGCCACAATCATGTCCAAGGCACCCCTTCCAGGTAAACACTCGTTCATTGACACCGAGTTCATGGCCCAAGTTGCGGCAGCGTGTCTGGCGGACTCTAGGATTCAGCAAGAGATTGAGACGCTGAAGCTTCCCGAGGGAGCGACGGTGGTTGTTGAGCCTTGGGCATACGCTACTGATGGAATGAAGGACATGAAGGATCGATGGACTATGGTGAGTCTCAGAGTCAGGCATCTCGGCTGAAGGAAACTGACCTTTCGTAGGCATGGTTCTACATGCGTCTTTCAGACAATCCCGACGCCAACTACTACGCTTATCCGCTCGATATCTGTGCCGAGGTCTCGAACTCGCTTGAGGTTGTCAAGATATACCGGCTCCCGTCTGGAGAACATGACAAGATCCATGAAGAAAAGCTAGAGTTCGATCGTCGAAAGATTCATTCCGACAGCGAGTACCATCCAGACTTTGTTCGGGAACGAAGGACAACAACGAAGCCTTATCATGTCTCTCAGCCGGAAGGACCCTCGTTCAGCATTGATGGAAATCACATTTCATGGGAGAAATGGACCATGAGAGTTGGCTTCAACTATCGAGAAGGCATGACTCTACACGACGTTCGCTTCGAAGGTCGTAGCCTGTTTTATCGCCTGTCCCTCTCGGAGATGTTTGTGCCTTACGGCGACCCACGTTGTCCCTACCCGAGAAAAGCAGCTTTCGACTTGGGCAATGACGGTGCGGGAATCAACGCCAACAACCTCAAGCTGGGATGCGATTGTCTGGGCCACATCAAGTATTTTGACGGATGGCTCAGCACCTCCTCAGGAGAGCCTCTCAAAATGCCTAACGTGATTTGCTGTCATGAGATCGACGATGGCATCTTGTGGAAGCATACCAACTTCTGTACAGGGAATGCCGTCGTGACGAGATCACGTGTACTCGTGCTGCAGACTATCATCACAGTCAGCAATTACGAGTACATCTTTCTCTTCTACTTCCAGCAGGATGGTTCCATCTTTTACGAAGTTCGGGCAACAGGAATCATGTCGACGGCGCCCATAGATATCGATGCCAAGGTGCCGTGGGGCACGGTTGTGGCGCCGGGTGTTCTGGCCCCTTACCACCAGCACATCTTTTGCCTGAGGATCGACCCGGCTATCGACGGGCATAAGAATTCGCTCGTTGTCGAAGAATCCCAGCCTATTCCATATGCTGGAGACTCGGATGAGTATAACCCCTTCGGTGTAGGCTACACCACTAAGTCGGAGTACGTCAAAGAAGAGGCTGGGCTCGATCTGGATTTCAACACGAACCGAACTTTCAAGATTGTCAATGAGGGAGTCACCAACCCAACCACGGGCACCCCAGTCGGCTTCAAGTTGTTACCGCACTACAGCCAGCTACTTCTGGCTCATCCGAACTCATGGCACGGCAAGCGCTCCGAGTATACTTCCCACGCCGTCTGGGTGACGCGTCACCAGGATGAAGAGCTCTTCCCCGCCGGCAGGTTCACGATGCAATCCTCCGGCGGAGAGGGCATCGCATCTTGGATCAAGCAGCGGAAGGAAGAGAGCCTGTCTTCAGTCCGCAATGAGGACATTGTCGTCTGGCACACGTTTGGCTCGACGCATAACCCGCGCATCGAGGATTGGCCAGTCATGCCGTGTGAGAAGATGATGGTAGGGCTCAAGCCGGTCAACTTCTTCCAGGGTAACCCTGCACTTGATGTCCCCATCTCGACGCAGGACAAGAACCGCAGCGTGCTAGTTCACGGTGGAGATTGATTAGAGTTATAGAGTTGAGGGACCAAGGTGCCGCGACCATCGCTTGCTACATATTATGTTTTCGACACATATCTCAAATAGAAAGACCATTGACGCCCGTAAAAGGTGGCTCTTAGAGTGGCTCGAATACCACTCTGGTACCGGATGCAAATTATGATGGGTTACTATGTTCATTTTCTTTGAGACCTGGCCAACTATCAATGACCGTTGTCATCCATTTAGAACAAAGTTTGGGGCTGAGGTTCGCGCGATCCACTCGCGAAGCGTATCAACGCGACCAATGTCTAGTTTCGGACTTCCAAAACCACCGGTTCCGTAGAGATAAGGCGGTCAAGTTACGAGTTTTGATGGATTCTGGAACTCCTCGCCTGAACCCCCTGACTTATGCGCGTGTTGCACGTCTCTTGAGTCATTGTCAAGTTGATGGCCGCCCACATCCCACACGGATAGCTCCGCGCGCCTGGGACGACTAGCGGAGTCAAATACCTTGGCATCATGGAAAAGACGATGAAATAGACGACAGCTGTGTCGAGTACTCGACTTGTCTGAAGATCGCAATCTTGGCAAACTTTATTTCTCGTGGTTCAGATCAGATCGATTCAGAACCAAGTGTGGTCGGACATTTCGGCGCACCGAAATGTTCGGTTAGTACTACTTGACCGCCATGTATATGAAACTGCAATGGGGTAAAGTCGCAATTGGGAAGGTAGACGCGAACAAGCGGTGTTGCAATTGTTTCTACATCATTAAAAACTGTGGAAACTGTATTGCTGCGCTGTGCTCAATCGCATGCACAATTACCAAGCTTGAACTTGAGGGTTGGCATCGTCTTTTCTCACGAGTGAACCGTCGAGTGAGATGCAAGCAGAGAGTTCGGTCGAAAATGTGCGGATTGGCACTTGACAGAATATTCACCTGGTCAGACGAACATGATCTGCTGCACGAGATGTCTTGTGTCTCAGATCGTCTCTTGGGACGAGTCTCGGAACAACCCCACGGAGTCCTGCCGCAGTTGCTTCAGATGGTTTGCGAGTCAGGACTCTGGGGTCATCCTTCCCCGGTACGGCCGCCGGGACCAGACTCCTGGGCCCCATCAATTAAGCATCATTCACAACTCTACTGCCATGGACTCTTAGTCCGAAGGCTTCTAGAATGGGCAGAATGGGTTGATGGCGCTGTATTTATAAATGGCCCAGTATTCGCACTCATCTTACCGATTTTCTCTTCATCCCATCAGCAACTCCTCACTCACACATCAATACTTTGACAGAATCTGCAACATGCAGCTTACAAAATTTCTTTTCACGCTGCTTGCAGCTGGCGTCATGGGTCAAAGGTGCTCTGAGACTCTGACATACTGCTCCGGCTCCGCCTGCCTCTGCTTCGCCGATGGCGTTGCTGAAGAGCTCAACAAGATCTGCAAAGCCAAGGGCTTCGAGCGTTCTCTTGGTCCTTCCAAGACCACTGTCGGCACCGTAAGCTTCCCCACCGAACCTTCTCATACATACATCACTAACATTCTGGTTTAGGCGGAGCGCTGCGACCACCAGTGCTGCACTGGCTAGTCTGGGAGTCATGCTCTTATCGATGTTGCGGAATTAGCGTTTTATTTTGTTCAGCCCAGGCTGTGTTTGGGTTCATTGTAGATTTATATCCTAGAGGTAGACAATCTATGCAATCCCTTCAGGAGCCCAATGACTTGTCTTTTTTGTCATCGTCACGGTGACAATGTTGTGTGACCACATATCTGTTGTTTGCAGCCCGACTTCGGAAACAACTCTGTTTGTTTCAAATTCACTTCCATCCTGGAAGTGTTGTCTAGGTCTCATAGTCCAATGGTCCAGATCTTATTTCAATAATTAATGTGTGGAGTCGACAGGGACACAGCGCTAGGCCAATCCCCTGTCATGCAGCCATTATCAAATGACGCCCAATCATTACAGTAACAACTACTCAGGAACTGATGTTGTAAGGTCTACAGTTAGCGGGTACATCACAAGCTGCGCTAAATACGTATACTCAGAAAATCCCTTGCTGCGTGTGATGGTAGTAAGTTGTTGAATTGTCATTTTGCACATATCACTGCCGGCGCATCTCTGTTTCAAACTTTGGACTGATTGAAAAAGTTTCTACAACAAGTAAACTTCTCTAAATTACTATGAAGCTCAGTTCTTGTGGCCGTTGCTTTGTTGGGGAATCTCGATGTGATGGTTTGAGAAGTTGTCCACCAGGTCATCCCACATCTTAGGATCATGCTCATGCTTTTCCTTGCTGTTCCATGCCCAGTCAGTAATAGTGAGAGCTCTGCTGGTCTCGAACATGAAAGCAATGGAGCCATGAGAGATTTGCATGACGGGAGGATCCTCCTTTGACGCAGCAGCAAACTGCTCGTAGGCAACTCCGTGGGGGACGAAGCCGCACTCAAAAGAGATGCTACCAGGCTGGAACTCGTCGGACCGTCCACCATACTCTCCGTAGATAAGGCCCATGAGCTCGGAAGCGCAGTTTCGGTGGTAGTAGGGGGGACGGTAAGTGTGGGAAGCCACGTCCCAGCGAGGGGAAAAGATGAGGAAATCCGCCAATGGCGCGGTTGGGTCGCGAGACTTGGCTGTAAGAACACAGAAGATAGACGGGTCGATGTGGTCGACGGATATAGATCCGACGTTGACGAATTTGGTCAGGTCGTACTTATAAGGAACGTAGTTGCCGTGCCAGGCGATAACGTCGAATGGGCAGTGGCGCTGAGTGCTCTTAAAGAACTTGCCTCCCAGCTTGTAGACGGTCTCCCACGGGTCGTCCTTAGTGACCTTGTATGCGGCGACGGGGTGCAGAAAGTCACGGGCGTTGGCCAGACCGTTTGCGCCCAGGGGACCCAACTCGGGGAGTTCCCAGTTGGAACCCCAGATCTCGAGGATGTATCCACGGGTGGGTCCCTCGACCTTGACCTTGAAGCGGAGGCCACGTTGGATGACGCAGATTTCTCCCGGCTGCACATACAAATGACCGAACTCAGTCTGGATGTCAAGCACGCCCTGTTGAGGCACAATGAGCCAATCGCCGTCGGAGTTTACGAACGCCTTCTTTGACATGCTCTTGTTGCAAAGGAAAACATGCGTTGCAAGGCCTTCTCTCAGCGTGGGGTCACCGGAACCAGCAACAGTCTTGAGTCCGTCAACAAAGTCGACTTCCTCACCCTCAGGAATGGGGTATGGCTTCCATGCCAACTGGGTGGGCGAGATGTGGACACGTGGGTTAATAGGGATGAAAGTTGACTCTGTGTCTTTGTTGTCAGGCAGGGAAGTCTGAAGTTCCGTTAATCCTGTGTTCCTGGAACTCCAACAACGATGCACAGATGACACTTACGAAACCCTGGTGAGCTACAGCAGGTCGAGATCGGTAAAGCCATGCCTTCTTGTTTGCATGTCGGGGCGCGACAAACGCAGACGCGGTGATCTGCTCGGCGTAGAGACCATATCGGATGCTTCGGGGACTGTTCTGTCCCTGGGGGATGGTGCCGGGAATAGCCTCAGATTCAAAGCTGTTTCCGAGACCAGGCTGGTACTTGTAAGGGTCATTGGGACGGGTCGCAAAAGACGGAATGGTACCGTCTTTCTGACTCGCTGCCCAGTGAAAGGCGTTCTGAAAGTCCTTCGGGGTGAGAGCTTGGGCTGCCATGATATTCCGTGATGAGTGAGGTTGACGATCAAATGCTCAGACCGTGTGTTCCCTTCCAGCTAAATAGCGCAATTCTTAGTGTGCTTTCAAATTCCTTGGTAACCGTTTCAATGCCTGTGGACGGAAAAGTTCACCCCACGTGGAGTGTTACGGCACTTACTCCACATGCACACTGACAGCCCGGCAATTGAGCTCTGCAATTGGTGTGGGGTCCGTCCATCGTGACAGCTCCAAGCCTGGTGGACTCTGACACGAACAAACGCCGCGGGACTCCATTCTACTTGCGTGGGGGGTCTGACGGAGCGAAGTGTAACGAATGTGGGCGCTGCGGGCGACCGTATTCTGTAATGAGACTGAGGCTGGATTTATCAAACGCACAAGCCCGAAATGCTACTGGCCATGCTGCTTTGCATCCAAAAGATTGAGTTTCACCAACATTCCTTGCTGCAGGAAAGCCAAACTCTGTCGCCATGGCATTTATTCTATTTGTTGTCTTACCCTTGATTGCATGTTTATTGTTCAGCATTATTTCTTACAGAAACTCTCGCCCTCCAAAAGACTACAAACCAGTTCCCGGGCCAAGGGGATTGCCTCTAATCGGTAACACCCATCAACTGGGGAAAGCGCCGCAACGTCAACTCCAGAAATGGGCCAGCGAAAATGGCGAGCTTTTCAAGATCAGGCTTGGCTGGGAGAACTGGGTCTTCGTCAACAGCCCTGAAGCGGTTCGAGAAATATTCGACAAGCAATCTGCAAAAACGTCAGGCAGGATGCCGATGCCGGTCGTATCCGACCTCCTTTCTGGGGAAAACCGGCTGCTTCTCCTGACATATGGCACAAAGTGGAGGCAACTGAGAACCATTGTTCACAAGCTGCTGACACCGAAAGCATCGGAGACTTACAAACCGTCGCAAGATTTTGAGGCGAAGCAGTTGCTTTTCGACCTTGCAACCGGCAACGATGATCAAGAAAGCTTTTACTTGCATGTTCGCAGATACACGACCTCTGTCGTGTTGACAAGTACATATGGTCGACGAGTTCCAGCATGGGTTAGACAAGTCGCTTCATTGGAATCTCCCAAAATCTAGTACTGACTGATGGAGCAGGACTGCGACGATATGCGAGAGATATACCAACTTCTGAAAGACTTCTCTGAGGCAGCAGAGCCTGGTGGGTTCGTAGCCGACTTATTCCCACCACTTGCCCAGATTCCATCATGCCTACAGTGGTGGAGGCCGAGCGCTATTGCGGCATACAACCGGCAGAAAAAGACGTGGATGCGCTACTGGGATGAATTGAAATCTGCTGTAAATCAGAAGAAAGCTCCCGAGTGTTTCGTGAAGCACTTCATAGAGACAGATTTTGAGAAACTTGGAATCAGCGATGTTCAGGCTGGCTTCGTGGCAGGATGTAAGTATCGACTTCCGCGTCCGCATCAAGAACAAGAGGCAGTTTCGTGTGGCTAACCTTTTCACTACCCTCTAGCAATGATTGAAGCAGGCTCAGAGACCACTTCATCTGCACTCAACAGTGCAATTTTATATTTGTCAGCCCATCCAGGCGTCCAGGACACAGCAAACGCTGAGCTCACGAAAGTTGTTGGAGACGATCGATCTCCCACTTTCTCTGATGAGGCTGATTTGCCATACATCCGAGCCATGGGCAAGGAAATCCTTCGCATCCGACTTGTCACGAATATTGGAAGTCCCCATTACACGACCGCGGACATTTTCTACAAAGACTATTTTATCCCCAAGAACACTGTGGTCGCTATCCCACAATATGTCCTCCATTACAGTTCAGAAAAATGGGACAACCCAGAAGCCTTCGATCCGTCGCGATACTTATCTTATCCGGAGAAAGCAGGCTTCTATGCCGCCCAAGGAGACGCCAAAGGACGCGACCATTTCGACTTTGGCGGCGGCCGGCGCATTTGCCCTGGGATGCATCTGGCAGAGAATAGTCTGTTTGTAACGCTTGCCAAGATCCTCTGGGCTTTCAAGATCGAGCCGGCACTAGATCCAAGTGGAAACCAAATCCCCGTAGATCTCTCAGATGATGCATATGAGCCGGGGGTCAATACTCTGCCCAAACCGTTCAAGGCTCGGTTCGTCCCGCGGAACACGCGACGGGCAGAAGTTCTGAAAGCCGAATGGGCTCAGGCGCAAAAAGAAGGATTTTACTTGGGAAACGTGAAGGTGAGTACGGATGGCATGGTTGTTGGATGACGTTGTGGGACGGAGTAGGACGGAAACTGAGCCTCCAGCCGTCCGTCTCTTCGAGTCGGGTGTAGCGTTTCGTCCCAGCAACTGCATCGTCAAGCGCCGCAGGCTTCCATGATCAGATGGATACATGGGCCAATTAAAACCCAATTAGATACGAGCATTTGCAATGCCGAGTGTGCTACACATCTGGTGACGGAGATCTGCTCCACAGATTTCCCCGCAGTGTCCATTACTGACACTGTTAATAAGATATTATTGATCACCGGCAGTAGTAGCGCGGCCCGCGAGCTATCCCCGCGTCCGTCTTGGCGGAGTGGCGATCGCAGCGAGATGCGTTGTCCCGATCTTTCTCGTGGGTCAAACTGGCATGTTTACCGTTTTCTTATCAACTCATTCATTTCACTTTCGCGATAGCTTGCCAGTCTACGTCTTTGTCGAAGACATGTGCAGACGCCGCGCGAAAGTTCAGAATACTGATGTCTTCCGCAATACCCCTGTCACCCAACCCCAACGCGGAAACCGGCCCGCCTGCGACGCCCCCGGATGCCAGCGCCGGGGTCAAGCGCTCGCGACGTGAAAGTAGACAGCATAGATGCGCTTACTGCCCGAAGGTTTTCAAGCGCAGCGAGCATTGCATCCGGCATGAACGTAGTCACACGAACGAAAAGCCTTACTCGTGCCAGTATTGCCATAAGTGCTATGCCCGGAAGTAGGCTCATCTCAGGTGCTAAGTACTCAATGGTGTCGTTTGACTAACAATATTCTTCAGAGACCTAGTCACAAGGCATGAACGAACACTTCATGCAGATGCCGCCGCCATCACAGTCGGAGGTCATTTGGGAGAAGAGTCTCAGTCGGAAGATACATCGAGCGAGCCGGAAGACGAACACCCTTCGAATGCTCAAAACCGATCTCCAAGAAGACAAAGTCTATTTTCACCAGAGAAGCGCTGCAAGAAGAGTCCCCTTCCAACAACAAGGGATGCCGGGAGTATTACTGTCGCAACTGACACTGAAACTATCGCAACGATTGGGCTAGACCTGGCTGAAGGAAACGAGTCGGTACCCCACGGAGTACCAAGTCTGTCAGAGCCTCGGACCGAACAACAAACAGATCCAAGACCATTGGGCTCTATGGGCATCGCGACCGAAGACATCGCTGCATCGTTCCTAGACACATCGTTCCCTTATCCGATCCCGCCTTCGGTATTACCTCTACCGGATGGGACCCTCGATTTCTCCCAAGACTTAGGGTTTCTGAACTCTCCAAGCTGGCTCGCATTTGGTCTGCCAGATGATCATCATTCTATGTATGATGTGCAACTGAACAACTGTCTCGATACTGCTACGAGAACGGCGGTGAACGAAGTATCGCCAAACTCAACAGCATGCGACTCCGATCTCTCCATGGCCGAACCCGAGCAAGTGAGTACAGCTATGGGGCAGCAGACCTCATGCTGTTCACCATATGGCAAAAAGGCATCGGCAGCTCTAATAGATAAGGCTGCATATGCTTCCATCTGTGACGAGCTTTCGAGCCAAGCTGCGAAAAGTCGAGGGTCGAAAGACTTGCCCACTCTGAAAACGTGTCAAAACTTCCTCGCAAGCTATATGGGAAGCTTTCACTGCCATTTGCCTATCCTTCATTTGCAAAGTCTCGCTCTGGGGAAGGTTCCCAGTGCTCTGATTCTAGCGATGTGCAGCATTGGCGCGTTGTATCGACTAGATCGGCGCCGGGCACGTCGTCTGTATGACTTGGCTAGAATATTGGTCGAACCGGTAAATGTCTCTTGCAGCCTAAGTTGAAACCACGCAGCCTTACTAATTTGTACCAGGTCGTCATAAAGGACTTCCCGCTATGGTTCACGCAAACTAGATTTCTCTTGACCTTTTATGCTACCTTCAGCGGTGACCAGGACTTGGTTTCAACTTCCACGGATGAAAGTGGATTTTACAACCTGGTAAGATTTTCAAGCTTTTTTCATGAACCCTGTTGACAGGCTGACTTTCCGCCTAGATATACAATCAAGCACGCAATAAGCTCAACAGCGATAAAGCCAAAATCTCCACAATGGAGTGGTCACGCTGGGTTGAACGCGAATCATGGAAACGAGTTCTTGGGGGCATATATGTTGCAGGCACTCTGAGAATGGTTATCTACGGCATCAACCCCATATTCAACGCATCTAACGATTTGGAAGTTGAATGCTTCCATGAGGAAACCCTATGGAACGCACAATCATCTAGCGAGTGGCTAAGTCTACGGCCAAAGCATGAGCACCAGGAGGTCGGCACTATGAGGGACCTGGTGGAAGGCGTTCTATCAGATGACCAGAAACGCAGCAGACTTGATATCGCTCGAGTCTCTCATTTCTCATTGCTCATACTCACACACGCCGTCATGGTACATATGCGTCAGCTCTACCAGATCTCCCAGACGTCTGCTCTCTGCGCGTTCTCCAATCAGTCATTTCTAGGCCAGTCTCTACTGAAAACGGGCTTGGAATCTCTTTCAAGGTGTTACAACTTACTCCAAATGCCTCACCAAGACCGACTCGAAGACCTGGATGACAAGGAGATTGTCTCCCTACGTTTCTCATCTTATGGCATCCTGAGAGCCGCGTACATCCGACTGTTTGACATCACTACAGGGTTCGACCGGCTCACTTTGATGGCCGAGGATCCCAAAGTCATTGAAACATCGGTCGCGATTTTGGCAGAAGCGCCACTCGAAAGAGACCGTTTTCTTCTAGATGCCGTAGAGAAAACGCTGGAGGGGTTCCAAATTCCCTTCAGAATGGGACACATGGTGATGCGCAAGACTGCCGCGTTCCGATGGAGTATTGAACACGCAGTCGCAGCTTGGGATGCCGGTAATACTCATGAGATCCTTCCTTACTTCCTTAGGCTTTGGGCTAAGCTTTATAAACAGGACTATTCGTCACCAAATGGGTGCACTCGGTTGAGATTGATGCTATAAATGGCATCGAACCAACCAGGGCGGAAACTGATCTGCTTACGGCAATGAAAGAAGTTCTCGAAGAGGCGGACTATGATACAGAGGAGGACAGATCGTTTTCGGCGGGGCTTGCTCGGACCTGGAGTCTTTTCTTGCAAGATGTAAGTCTCGCGAGGTCTGGAATTTCTCCTTTAAGGCAATAACCATGGCTAACAGGTCTCGGGATAGGTATGGGTTTGGGGCATCACTGTGCGCATGGGAAAGGTTTTGGAACACCTGGCAACTGCGTATGAAAACCATAATGAAGCACAAAGGCAGAAATGACACAATATTGCGTCCTCATCGATATGCAAGCTTTCACGCAGCGTTGGAAACCCTTTTCAGAGACTAATTTGGTTGCAACTGGCGACGTGGACGACTGACCATGCTCAAATGGTTCGTCTTACTCAAGGGCTCGATTCCTTGGTCTTAGAACCAAGTCTTCGCTCTTCAGCTGTATTCCCCCGTTCAATAATCAGTGGCAAAACCTTGTGCTCCTAAGCAGACCTCGAAAAACCAATTGGGAATACTAATCTGCAGCCTAGCTCCTATTAATAGCTAACCTCCCCTCTTGAAACCAACCCAGCTCGTTTTCAGAGGCTTTGACTGAAATTATCCTGCCCATATTATGAGTTTTTGATGATAAAAGGAGAGCAATCGGGTACTGGTAACTGCGGTTCGACTTGCCTAAGTAATTTGGGCAATGTGGGGTACATAGCGGGAACCGGATCAGGCCGCAGGAACACCACGGCCCGGGGCGGCTCCCGAGATTGGAAGTGGGGGTAAAGCGAAGCTGCACGCCCGGGTTTCCGATGTGGGGTAATGTGGGGTAATGTCCGGTTGCTTCTCCGGGAGTTTCTTCGGCAATTCGACATGCGGGGTCGGAAGGCTGCCAGAGGTTCCGGAACACCCGCTGAAGCTCCTGGCTACGGTCTTTACAGTTTCTATCTAGGAGAGAGTTCCAAGCGCTTTCAACGTTGTGCTTGTGGCTGAAACAAAGTGTTTGAGGGACCTATGCAAAGGTCTGAACCGCACCAATCCGGATAGAACCTCAAGCCCTTCCGTCAACTTGGGTGACTCTTGTGTCTGAATCGTTTAAGCCGCAACCAACTTTGCCGTCTGACTTTATCCTTAATCCGACCGCACACTTCGAAGATCAGATGGCTTCTACTACAATCTTCCAGCATCCTCTCATCGGAGATATCAAGGCAAGCTCCACGGAAGATGTGATCCAATTCTTAGGTATCAAGTATGCGAGCCTCAATCACTGGTTTGACAACGCAAAGCTTGTGGAGTACGACGGAAAAGGCCTAAGTGCAATTCGCCATGGGTGGGTGAGCCAGCAGCCTGATGGGATGAGGCCACCGGAGCTAACTGAGAACATCAGGCCGCAAGTGATATCTGATCCCGAGGGCGTTCATAAAGAACACTTCATCATTCAGAAGACCCTCCCAGTCAGTGGCCATCCAGGCATCTCTGGGACAGAATGCCTCAACTTGAATATTGCTGCACCCACAAACTCTTCCAAGGGCCAGTCGCTTCCGGTGATCGTTTTCATCCACGGTGGTGCTTTTATCACAGGGTCAAACTGGTGGCCGCAGTACGACTTGAAGCGGATCGTTCAGCTTTCCATCAAGCAAGGCCAACCTCTGATCGCAGTCAGTATCAAGTACGTATGATCTCATCACTGTCTTCTGACGCAGCACTGACGGTTCATCATCATAGCTACCGTCTGGGAGCTCCGGGATTCTTGACTTCAGACGAACTTCGAAAGGAGGGTTTCAAGATCAATCAAGGTCATCATGACCAAAGAGTTGCTCTTCAATACGTCAAGAGGTACATCTCCGGCTTTGGCGGTGATCCTCACAAGATTACAGTGATTGGTGAGAGCGCCGGCGGAAGTGAGTTTACCCCCAATGGCATCGCCTTCTTGAAGCAGACAGGCTGCAGCGAAGAGCCAAGCATCTAACATGTCTTTTCCTAGTTTCAACTAGTCGTTTGCTTTACTCGAATGATGATGCACCGTCTCAGTTGGCTGTGCTAAGCGGTGCACCCCCGTCGCTCCCTCCCATGGATCTCTCAGCCGCCGAGGAAGCTTATCGTGGAGCACTCAAATCCCTCGGCGCCGAAGACCTTACTCCGAGCCAGCGAGTTGAGGCTCTGAGCAGACTTTCACCTGAAGAGCTTCTTGAGAAACTCGACAAGAGTCTTCAATTTTTGCCCGTGCTGGATGCAGCTACTGTACCTTTCGTGCCGACTTTCAAGGCAGTAGAAACAAAAACCTCCATCCCCGACAACACCCCTTGCAAGGCCATCTTTGTTGGCTATCTTCCTGATGATGTACGTAGACCAAGTCATGAAGCGCGAAAAGCTATCTAACCAGCGATGAACAGGCGAGCATCTTCGGCCTCGCCGGACTAATCCAGCGGAAGCCTGGTATTGGTGCTTCGTTCCAGAAGTCAATTGAGTCATCCTTCTCGGATCACCCCGACAAAGCTACTAGATTGCTGAAAGCCTATGGAATTAGCGAAGATACCAACGATGAAGATGGCTTCAAAGGTGTCATAAGGTTCGCATCAGACATTGGCTTCCAGGCACCGGCCCGTTCGTGGGCTGCCAGCTTTCCTGGCGACTCGTACCTCTTTGAGCTGGCCGAGGCAAACCCTTGGGAAGGTCCTTTCAAAGGCTATGCCACCCATGTGCTAGATGTTGCACTCCTGTTCCAGAACTATAGAGAGCATCTGGACGCGAAGCAACAAGCCTCTGCAGAAGCTTTTGCTGCAGACATCATCACTTTTGCGCACGGCAAAGCGCCGTGGAAGAAGTATCAAGATGGAGGCGGCCTGGGCGTATATCGAAACGGCGTTAGAACTTACGAAGAAGGCCCTGGAGTTATCTCGGAACAGTATCAAGTGCTAATGGAGGTGAGCCAAACCGTCGGTTTGGATTTCGTGTTGGGCGCTTGGACGAAGTTTTTTTTATTCTCTTAACTGGCAGAAGTGTATCTACTTGAACCGCTTTGAAAGACAATCTTGCATAGGCATTTCCACAGGGTGTTCAAATGATTCATTCGTTTGATGTTCTAGAACTCGGGGGTCGCCGTGTGTGATTTGTGGGGGAAGCTCCGTCGTAGGGCAGAATTGCCTGCCGGCGACGACCGGAGCAGGCGGAGTTGGGGGGCTTTGCATGCGGGGTCGGGGTCGGGAGCGGCAATTCAGACGCATAAAACCGGGTAGATTGCTCGGCTTGATTTCTTCTTCGATGCCGGTTTGCCATGTTGACACCCTTTCTTGAACATCGGATTTTCAAACACGAACAAAAGTCTGTTGCTTAGAACAATATTCCGCCCAATTATCAAATCATCTCTCTGCCGAGGCACAAGGCAGAATTGCTGAATTGGCCATGACTCTGCTGCGACATAATCACTCTAGTCTCGGCGCAACCCTCGTCGGGATTGAACGCCCGTTGGTTGCGCACTTTCGGGGCATACCATATGGCCGTATTCCGTCGAGATTCGCGGCACCCGAGCCCGTCAAGAGCCTGCCACAAGAGCTGGATTGCACGCATTTCGGGTTGTCACACTTTCCCCGCCGAACCGGCTCTTGACTCGGGACCCGCAGTCTGACCAACAATCTCACCAGACCACGATGTCCTCAAGTTCCCATCGATGTTGGGCATCTCTTACGCATACCACCGCACCACGTGCTTCCCGTAGAAGCTGAAGACGAGTTCAATTGTCTCAACTTGGATGTCACGGTACCCAAAGCGCGACTCGGGACGACTGCCGGCGAGAGGTTACCTGTGCTAGTCTGGATTCACGGTAGAACTCCCGATACGAGGGCATCATCGTCGTAGGTTTGCTGACCGTATTTTCGTAAAGGTGGCTCGCAGGCCGTGACTTTCGGCAGCGCCGCCTCGGGCCTCTGTGGTAAGCGCTTACTTTGTCTCAGCTCATGCACCTCGACTCACGAGGCGTACAGACACGACGAAGATTGTTGAAGACTCTGTACGCATGGGACTGCCCATCATCGCCGTAGCCATCCAGTACAGACTCAACATCTTTGCATTCGGTGATGATGACAGCTCAGTGAACCTTGCTTTGAAGGACCAAGCGCTGGCGTTGCAATGGGTCCAAAGGCATGTTGCTGCCTTCGGCGGCGATCCTGTAAGTGATGCCACCGTGTTGGATGTGATTCAATTAAGAGCCGCGCTGAAAGTTACGCACAGAGAGCCGTTACTCTTGCGGGGGAGAGTGCAGGAGCAGTTTACTGCCACGCACACATGGTGAGCAAGGCGCCGTTGAATCAATGCATTCTGGCATCCGGGTCTCTGCATCTTTCACCCCCTCAACCGCAAGAAAGGGCCGCTGCATTTCGCTCTAATCTCAAGCATCACTTACGCGATTTGGGCAAGGTGGATTTGCGCACAGCTCCTGCTGATGTTGTTGTAGAAGCATTGAAGAGATCCGAGATCCAGTCTGGGTTCCTTCTGATGGAGTCATCACTTGACGGATGGCAGGAGAGCTTGGGCGAGGCAAACCGGCTGATGATCAGTGATGTTCAGAACGAGGTCAGTGGGCTCGAAAGAAAACCCCCAATCAAGTATTGACCTGTGTATAAGTCTGTCCTCTGGCGCGATGGCATTTGGTCAATGGGGGTCAGTGACATTGTCAGCGCGTTTGACATCGCAGGAGAACATCGCGACAAGCTCAAGCAAGCGTACAACATTTACCCGAATAGGCCGTCCTCGTGTAAGCTTGGGGCGCTGGACTTCATTAACGATTACAAGTTCTTGCTCCCTATCCAGGAGATGGTTCAGCTCTGTAAACGCGCCGAGACGCCCGTGTACCGAAGTCTCATTGATGAGGCCAACCCTTGGCAGCCATCGAATGGAGCGCATCACGCGATCGATCTGATCCTCCTGTTTGGCGGTTTCGACTCGTCATTATCTCCAGCCGCCAAGGCGACTGGCGAAGAGATGCGCAGATCGTGGATTCGGTTCATCCATTCGCAGGAGCCTTGGTCTCCGATCTCAACCGCTGCCTTTGGGCCCTTTGGCATGTTTCAGGAGCTCGATGACACCGAAGTAAGATCGCGAAGGCGCATAGATCAGGCGAAATACTTGCAAAGCGTTGGATCGCAGGCGCTGGACAAAGTGTTTTTGGCTCTAGCTGCAGGAAGAATCAGTCTTCTGAATTAAGGCAAGGCAGCCGCCAAGGAATCAAGGATTGCCCGAATTGGAATTCGCTCGGATCTTCTGTCTCAACTGCGCAAACGCCTATTGCCTTCATTGGCAATTGATGATGCACTCCCACCGGCTGCTTTGCGGCTTTGAACATTCTAGTGGCCTTTGCTGGCATCATAGTCACCCCACACGAGCTTTGTGTGCTGCGTTGAATTAGTCTTTACTTTCTAGACAGACTCAAAGAATACTGGCCCAGAGTTCTAAGAATTTGCCACCGCAGTTGACACCCTGTCACCCCCACTACAAGCAAACCACCAACAACAGTTGAGCTTCAAGACGAATGTGGTGATAGATCTAATCTAATCAATTAGACGTTGCGCTATGTGGGGGAAAGAACGGGAAGGTGACATCGCTGCTTGTGGGGGGTGTTGGTGGAGGTTAACTCCGACGCCCATTGCCCAATGTGGAGGGTGAGAGTGGTGGCCGATGAGGACGCGGGGGACGGGGATCATGCGAGTATAGTTGAGACATTGGACGAGTAAGTGAATACCTCGTCCAACAGGACAATCTGTAACAACTCTTCTGTCTAAAAACACATAATCGGCATGCCGAAGACTCGTAGCCGCATCTGCAAGAAGACAACAACATCGTATCCGCGACTCATCGACCTACATCCTGCATCTCGGCAGGCCGATACATACACTAGTTTAGGGCGTGAAAGACACCTTAGTCATGTCTGTAGGGCCGAAAAATGTAAGAAAGCTAATCGGCTTTCAATATCTAAGCTTTGACTGACATGAAAGTATAGGTTATCATCGTCGGGGCAGGCCCTGCCGGACAGCTATTAGGGCTGATGTTGGGGAAAGATGGCATTCCTGTCACGATCATCGAACAGAGCTCAAAGCTTGACGACAAACCTCGGGCCACGCACTATGCTCCCCCAGCAATGAAGGTTCTGAATCGCGCCGGGCTTGGTCATCGCGCGCGTGAGCTCGGTTTGCTGCCCGATAGGGTGGCATGGCGCAAGCCAGACGGGACATCAATCGCCAGTCTCAGCAACAAGATCCATGGGGACGATCCAGATCGGCTGCTTGCACTGCCCTTGTGCGATCTGGCGCAGCTCATATACGACGAATCGAAGGATCTGCCAACAGTCACTTACCTTTTTGATCATCGTGTGACGGGCATTGGGCAGGATGAGAAGAGGGCCTGGGTTGATGTAGAGAACTGCAGAACCGAGGAAACTCGGGAACTATTCGCCGAGTACATTGTCGGATGCGACGGAGCTAATAGCATTGTTCGGCGGCGTTTATTTGGGGACACGAATTTTCCAGGTAAAACATGGGACGAGCAGATTGTGGCGACAAATGTAAGTTTCCAGTGACACATTCTTCGCTGGCTCAAAGTATCATCGGGACTAACCACCGCGCCGCATCTACTAGGTATACTACGACTTTGATCAGTTCGGATACACCGACTCAAACTTCATTTTGGATGCAGAAGACTGGTTCATGGCGGCGAAAATCACCAAAGACGGTTTGTGGCGCGTGACATACGGAGACGTCTCCGGGCTGTCGACGGAGGAAGTCATCGCCCGGCAACCCGAAAGGTTCAAGAAGATACTCCCAGGGCAGCCTGAGCCCAACCAGTACAAGCTCGTTAGCATTGGGCCGTACAAAGTCCATCAACGCTGCGCCGAGAAAATGCGTGTCGGCCGGTTCCTGCTTGCTGAAGACGCAGCGCATCTTTGTAACCCGTTGTACGTCTTACCTATCTAAGTAAGCCTTTCATCGCGCATTGATACTGACGGACCGGCGTCCGGTAGTGGGGGCCTCGGCCTGACCGGCGGCATCGTCGATATCGGAGGGCTCTATGAATGCCTCTCTGGAGTCCTTACTGGCAAGGCGGACGAAAGCATCCTGGACGTCTACGACGACGTACGCCGCCAAAAGTACAGAGAGATAATCGACCCCGTATCCAGCGATAACTTCCGACGAATGTTTGCAGTGCCTGGTGACAAGGTACTTGAGACCGATGAGTTCCTAAGGCTGTGCAAAGAGGCCGAATCAGATCAGGAGAAAGCGAGGGAGATGACCAAGGTGAGTTTGGATGACAGGCCACCCAGCATTAGGGTTTGCTGATTTTTTCCGCCGACTTACTGATCTTGGGATAGGGCGCTCAAGCACTGGGCTATGACTTTACGCAGCACTACAACACGAAGACCAACGGCGTCAACGCCCACATTAGTCCTCATTGAGAGAGAGTCATGCGCGGCAGCAGTGTGCTTCTTGCCCTGCGCAGGGCAAGTGTTGCCGACTCAAGCTAAACTTGGTCAAAAGATAGTCCAGATGGAGGAGAGCAGGGCAGCATGAGGCTCGAGGCTGAATTTCGCAAGCTGCTCCTCGGGTTGATGAGTGTTTGTCTCTGCATGAACTGCCACCATAACCATTGTCTTGGAAATGTATAGCCTTGTCGCGATTCGTCCGTTGTATGCCGTAGCCCTATCACTGAAATGCCGACAAGTTGACTTTCTCACACGTAACCGGCAAATGACGCCGCGGAAGAGCTGGGTTTACTAAGCTTCAATCAACGCACAGAGACTGGTTGAGCTGAGCTTTACCTGGAACGAACTTGGAAGCGGACAGAAAGTCAAAAAGGATTGGATGTTGAAACGGGGACCGCAAGCTGATCCGTTTAATGTGTAGCAGGGCGAGGAGCAAACTCGGGGTTCCTCTATGCAAATCAAGGAAGGACCAAGCAGCAGCTGTCAAACGGACCCGACAACGAGGTAGTCGAAGGTAGGTGGTTGTCCAACTCTGCCTGCCCGGCTCACGGATCTCACCAGCACACGATCCCGTTGCCCTCCCACATCCCTGAAAGCTTCCCAGCGGCGGTAGGTTCCGGCAATGCAGGTACGCTAGCAACGGTCAGAGAACATTTAGGCCCTTGTGGATGCCATGACAAACTCCTTCTAGAGTCGGGGCAGGCTCCGCAAGAAGCAGGTCGTTTTTCTATGGTTGAACTTTAAAAAAGCCTTCTTTGTCGCGGAGCGGTCCGACAAGGGATTCGGAGGGTTGAACCTGCAACGTCGAGGTCATGTCTGAAGGGGAGTTTGCTCGCTCGCTCTGCTCGTCAGCCGCGGTTACTCACATAGGTTCAAGGACTGAAGCGCGCGAGCGCGCTCTTCTCCTTGTGCCAAGGCTGAGTTCGGGGTCGAGGCCTGATCCCGTGGATGCCCAAAGGAGACACGTGAAACAATGCCTGCCCGGAACAGGGCATAGCAGCCTACGAAAAACGAAGTTGTACGAGGGAAAGGACGTCGGGGAGGACTGAACGGCAGCGGCTCAGGTGGTAATATTAAGGTTTGAGGCGTCCCCGAGGGCGTTTGACGGCAATTGCAGCCCCTCGATAGACTGCCCACCGGCGGCTTCTTCGGGCGGGTTTCCAGTCGAGTTCAAGGGGGCGGCCGGGCAGCCGGCCGAATCCTTCGAAGGAAGACAGAGAGAGAAGGCCCGCAAACAACAAGGCAAGGGGTGAGTAGAGAGAGTGTGAGAGAGAGAAACGGCGGATAAAAGAGCAGCCCTAACAGAGATTTGTGGCTCAGACTGGCTGTTTCCATGGAACCTTACCGGGTCGGGGATGACGTCGGCTAGCCGACGCCACGGAAACTCTATTCATATGACGCCCTTTTTTTTTCGGCTGTATTTCTCGGTTTCTTCTTGGCTAAGCTCGCTGAGCCCCTGTTTGTTACTCGGTCCCTAGCTTCAGTCATATTTGACCAGACATGGGCTCCATCGCGGTTGATAGGCAACTAGTCAGACTCGTCGAGCGGACCGCGAGAAACCTGCGGGCGCCGACACGTTTTTAAGTACTCAAAAACACGTGAGAGACGTAGTCGTACAAGCCGTTTGCAAGTGTGGCGGTGATGGCGTTGCTAACAGTCCTACAACGGCAAGGTGCGTGATGCCGAGGCGGATCGTTCTGCCCAGTCCCACCCCTTCCGCGTCGGAAATTCTGCCCACGCAGCAAAATGGTTCTGTCTGCCCATCGGCGATCCCTGCTCTACCAGGTTAGGCTGGCGTTTGATGGGCTAGACTCTGGGCGACGGCTGCTTCGCTCGCTCGACTGATGCCACACGCACCGCCAGAGACGCACACCACCCACGCACTCCCTCTCACACAGGCTTCAGCCGTGGAATACACACATACACACACCTACCTGCCACACACAGACACACACACACACGCTCCAGAGGAACAGAGAGACACTAAGACAGGCTCGGCTTGCCTTGCTTTGGCACATTCGACCCCACCTCCCAAGAGTGACCTGAACGAACAAGAAGTGGACCCTGAATATCTCTCACTGCATTCTGTTCTCCTTCTCCGCCATTAAAACTGTGCTGGCTCCTCCCACACTTTGCGGTGACACTGGAAGTTGATGCCTGGTGCTGCTGCTGCCCGCCCGTAGCAGTCCAGTCATGATACCCAGTAATCAACCGTTTGACAACCAAAGGAACAAGCTTCGATCCGTTCCTTCTTGGGCACAGTCTCTTGTCCCTTTTCCCCAACCGTCTTTTTCTCGGGTCGTCTTCCGTGGTCGACCTGCCATGTCACTGCGGTAAACCGTTGACTGTCGACTAGTTGCTATTACCCTATATCGGACCAGACCAGACTCTTTTCCGTCAAGTGTCTGGCTATTTTTTTTAACACCTGCAAACACCAAAAAATCAATCCTTACCGCCAAGGGAAACAACAGATCATGGCATCCCCTGAACAACAGATGGACTCGCTGCGAGAGAACCTTAGCCGCGTAATTCTAGACCAACTTGCGGAAACGCTGCGGGATTATCCGTCCGGCAGCCTATCGAACCCGGTCCTCCGATTTGAAGCCTTCATTCAGGATGGCGAGACGGAGACACAGGGGCGATCACCCCGCTCTCCAGTCGTCTCGGTAAGTTGCAACTCCTCGGATCTCGCGGGCTGGAGAGCTGCTTTACTGCGGCTGCTGCGCGCGCGCGAAAACACGTTCCCTGCAGTTGATAAAAAGACTCTGTTGCACATTAAAACCTTGGAAAGATGGAAGCCAATTTTTCCGATTCGATGAAGATGATCAGGTCGAATTGCCAGCGTTGTTTTCCTCCCGGGGTTGTGGTTTGTTATCGTATCAGCCATAGTCAGAGTTGGTTGATTACGAGGGGTTTTGACAGCTAACCCGCCACAAACATATAGAAAATGGTCGATTTATCCGGCATTATATCACAGAGCGCGACACAGAGTCCGAATACGAGTAATCTCGGAAGAGAATCAAACGATGTAGCCACACCGCCCATTCTCGCCGGGCATGGCCATCCGGTGATGGAGGATCCCGGCGCATCGAGCAGCAACCAGGCGTTGGTACATTTACCGGCGCGACGCCCGCCAACCCAACTCGCGCCACCCATCGACGACGGAGGAGCGGGACCGTCATCTTCTCGGAGGAAAGGAACAGGATCTCTACGGCCTATCAGAGGAGTTGGTCGTGTTATCGAGGAGGAGCCTGACACCCAGCGTCAGATGCAGGTCGCCAACAGTTTTCCAAAGCGCGCAAAGATCCAAGCGGACGTAGTCTTTATCCCCCAGCAGTCTTCTATCGACAAATTCGTGGTAAGCATCTGGGAACAGATTCACGGCGGCATCAGCCTGGACCCGCAGAGTCTACTCGAGCAGTGGCAGTTGACGGCGACGGCGGCAACGGCAACCATCAACAATGCTGGTAAGATTCACGTTCCCGAACAGCTCGAGCTGGGTCTCTTGCAGCCGCCTACCGTGATTGACGGCACGATGGCCGAGGTGGACATGGAGGGAACCTTCAACCGCAGCAACATCTTTTGCCGAAAAGTCACGCAGGCCAGCCGCGCGTGCCGCTCGATCGAGGTCATCGTCCAAGCGCGATGGATCGAGCACTTTGACTCGTACGTGGATCTCCTCGCCATCACGAACCCGGGTATGTCTCCCACGAAGCGCCGGAAGGCGGCTCTGATCGAGGCGTGCAACGACTTTGGATGGTCAGAGAAGGAACTGCGCAACAAGATGGCCATCTGGCGCGGTTACAAGGAAATCAAGGACGCCGGCGGCTGGGCTGCGCTTGTTTTCGCCGGAATGGGTCTTTACCGCTTCTGCAAGTACCGCGTCGGCTTCAACCCGGACAGCATGCAGCGGCTCCGTTGCCTTCGGCCCCGAATCGAAGTTGCGGCGGACACTCTACACCCAACCTGGCGCCAACTGCTCATGATCGTCGGCGAGACGGCACAAAGACGGTTCTGCGGCCACCCACACGACTGGGTTGTTCGACAGGACGGCTCGGATCCGGTGCCCTTACGTTCGACATATCTCGAGTACGACCCGTATTTCAGCTTCGAACAGCTCGAGCACTCGGTGATGGACATGAGCGCGTGGGGAACAGACGACCCGCGGTGGGTGCCCCCGATCAACGCGGTGGCTTGCGTCCAAGGCATGCACACGTGTCACTCGTGCGGCCAGGAGCAGTCAGAGGACCCCAAGATCAACTCGTGCTACTGCTTCCCGACTCTGTTCGGATCCGGGCGTCGGAGCCCCTGCCCGGTGCAAGTGTTCCGGACGCCAGACGGGCGCAACAACGGACTGACGGCGCTCTGCCCTTTTGAGCGCGGCGCAGCGATTGGCGAGTTTATCGGCCTCATCACAAAGGACCTGAGAGATATGGACGTCATGGACAGCTCGACGGGCGTCCGGGCCTACCAGATCTGGCAGGGCCGGCAGGGAAATTTTACGAGGTTCGTCAACCACAGCTGCAAGTCGAACGCGCAGTTTCAACAGTTTGTCTGGATGAGCACGCAACGCATCATCTTGGTCAGCAAGGGCATCGAGGCGGGACAGGAGGTCACGGTGGACTATTCTGGGAGCTACTGGCGCGGTTTGGACAAAGAGTGTCTCTGTGGGGAGGCATGTTGCCGCTACAGGAATAACCGCGAGTTGCTGGCGAGATGAGGTCACACTACGTTTTATCATAAGACATGACATGGAAGCAGGAGCAGCGAAGGGAGCGTAAAGAAGAGAAGAGTCAGGATCGGAGTCAGAAGAAGCGCAGTCGGCGGAACAGCGTTAGCCACGCGGCAAGGGAATAAGGGATGACGAAAAATAAGAAAAAAATTCCATTTTCAACTACCGACGTTTTGCGACTTTGGGACTAGTCCAGGACTCCAGCCCATTGAACGAACATTCCATTTTCGCATTTCATGATGACTGAACCAATATGCAAAACCCGTATCCCGTCCTGCGAAATCCCGTGTCTCGGGCACGGAGACAAAGAGCTCAAAGAAGACTAGATAACAAGCCACAAAGGGACAGCTCCTGGCGAACAGACAGCAGAGGCACCGCCGCTTCAGGCAGTCCATGGCAAGAGTTTCCTCTTTCTGGAGCTGCCTGCAGAGAGCCAAAATCCGTCCGATGTCGCCGCCTTACCCGACCCGACACCTTTTTCCCCTTGAAAATGCACAGAGCATCCGCGAAGTGTCTTTCCTTGAACGAAGTTGCGAGCGAGGGTAAGCCCAGGAGCAGCCTGTCGGTAGATGAAAAAGTTTGCTGGCATTTATCGCCAGTCCGTGTCAGCTGTATTGCGGTGTTCGTGTCATTTAGTGGGTTCCAGGTTCGTGCCAACGCCTACGCTAGAGCGGTTAAAACGCCCCTTGAATTGCTCCAACGACCTTAGCTCGGTCCGCCCATCCCCGGCCTCCGTCACTCTGATCTCCTCTGATCTTCTCCTGGTGCTGTCATACTCAACCCATTTACACTTTGCTAGAACACAGCCTAGAGGGGGGGTAGACCGTGGCTGGCGGGCTGACCCGTTTCTTCCTTGCTGCTCCTCCTCTTCTGTGCCCCGTCCTCGTGGGAACATTGGGTTCCAGTTGCCTTCAGACACGCAAAATAGCACCAGCACCAGTACGCAATAGGGCGTGTGTCCGTTGTTGCTTATGTGGTCACTGTGGTGCGCGCCGCTGTGTGCTGCCCAGTGTCATATTAGCCAGTGTCTCGGGTTCAGGGTCTGAAAGCCCTGTCTTGGGTCCCCCCCCAGGCGATTGTTTCTTGAACGATCGCCGTGAAGTGGGAGATGACATGTCGCCATCTGGCGCATCCCGCCCCAGCCACATTTTCGTTGATAAGCTTCAGCGGCGCACAACGAGAGACTCACGGTCCCCCGGGACGATGATGATGATGGAAGCTTCACTTCTTCAGGACATAGACTCCGCGGCAGGTGTGTCCAATGTGTGTGTGTGTGCTGTCTTGGACTCTGTACACGGTGTTTTCCCCGAACATTTCCCCCCTTGGAATCCCTCGCTCCCGAAAACCTTAGCGGGTGTATGCGATAGCGAAATGGGTGTGGGACACACATAGGTTCGAAGCCGGCCGTTCTTCCGGGGGCGCGCTGTTTTTAGCCTCCTTTAGCCTCTTTGCGGGACTGTCTAGTAATCCGGCACGGTCTCCTCGTCAGGTCTGGCACCATATGGGGGCCGTCCACGATTCACGAACCGGTGGTGCAAAGAGTGAGAAAATTCAGATCTAGGAAGAGTTTTTTTGTCATCACAACTGACAAATCGTCTCGATTAAGCAGAATTTCTGTTTCTGGTGTTGTTTCTGATTATAATCTCCGCAACGGTGGCCTCATCTCGGCGGCCCCAGGGGCGCGCCAGTCAGTCAGGGGGTCCGGTGCTGATGGCCCCCAAGAATAACGACATAGGCACAGTAACACAACCGAGGGATCTTTCGACTGCCCCCCGCGCGCATTGTCGGATAGAGTCAAAGTGCGTCGTGATCGAGCTAAGCAGCAACCGGTATCGCCATCTCGTGTGCCTCGGGAGACGGACGGACGGCTCCTCGTGTTGTTCTCCCCTTACGCGATGCCTAGCTTCACCTTAGTCCGAACCGGTTGCCCACGCCAGGACTTAGACCATCATCCATCCCGAAGTTTGACAGTTTTCCAAACGGATTGTGGGAGAGGGAAACCGCTACAATCTCTCAACATGCAGAGCAGAAGAGTTCCCGCTCACGGGCGTGGACTGGCGGTGTCAGACGCAGATTGTTCTGTTGCTGGTCCCTCCCCCGACCGACAAAAGGTCTGGTGACTTGCTTCGTCGTCTCAGGCTACTGCAGAGACTGGGGCTGGGCAGTAGCTTTTTGTCACCAAAATTCCAGCACCATCTTTGGGCAGCTCGAACCGTACCGAACTCCCGCCGAACTCTGGCTGACCCAGCTGTGTTTGGGTCTTGGCGTCCCATGGTCCCCTCTGTTAACTTTGGGGCGGCCTTCTTGCTTCTTGACATGCTTCCACCTTTCCAGAAAGACGGGCTGATGGGCAAGACTCTGCCAGCTTCGCACCGCTATGACTTGGTATGGGCTTCAGTCCGTTCATGAGGGCTCTGTCGCCTAGCGCGTTTGAACTCCGAGTTGATTCCAGATTGTTTGCGATGACGAGGACGAAAAGGAGTTGCCGAAAAGCATAGCCGCGTCTCACCACACCCACAGTCATACACACAGTCAGTCAGACACACCTACCTGCCTGCGAACAAGTCTATGTGTGGGCTGCGGACTCTCGTGTAGCGATAGTGGTGCTGAGGATCCCGCCTACGAATCTCGGCGGAGACGCCCGTCGGGCACTAACACTCCTCAGAAAAGGTTCTTCAAGCTGTCTGAGCCCCCCTGCTCATCACTATCGAACGCACCCCGATCCCTCAATGTTGCCCTTTCTACTTTGTTGGCCCAAACCGCGGATTATCGTGGTTGTGATTCGTCCTTCATCCGTCATTGAATAGCCTACGGTTCTTATCATGCCGTCTTTTGCCCATCAAACAAACGACGTTTCTTTTGCATTGCGAGGCTTTCGGATGACAACTCGGTGGACGCTTGGGCTTCCCGATTGTCAAATCTGCCCGTTGCCCTGAGCTAATAATATCCAGGAGGCATCCTCGTCTCTCAAACCCCCGTTCGGAGCAGACTTTTTTTCCAATTTCTTTACGATGTGTACGAAGTGACACCAAGTATCCGGTGCTCAAACAGACGCAGACATCGCGTCTTTCCAATGCCTGAGACTGTCAATCGTTGATTGCTGTTGTCTTCTGGTTCAGGTTGGCCAGGGGTCCTGTGACGCGGAACCACACCTCTAGCAAGCGAGCACAAGCGCGGTTCCCGCGGCCAGGCTGACACCAACAACCACCTGAAGTCAGCCCCTCTCAACTAGATACTTCGCCCAGGTAAACGAAACGAAGATCATCGGAGAGGCCTGATGGCTACTAGCTCTGTATCTTAGTTGAATGAGAAGAAGAAGCAATGATTGATCCACCCAGGGCAAGATCCGGTGAGGCGTGAACCCGTTACACAAAGATCGATCCAGTATCAGCATCCGCGACACTACAACCCGGCTACGATCACGGCTCTCGCCAAGGCCCACTGGCGCCATCAACAACCAAGGAGAAGCCTACCAGACGAATGTGACGTTGCCATTCCCTATTCGCTGCCTGCCCCTATCTCCCTTCACCCGGGGGAGAAAAATCAGAACAGCAGACCAGGCAACTAGAGAAAAGGTATGTTGTTGTTGCTGTTGTCCGCCTGGGCAGACCGAAACGTCTTTCCCCCTAGAGCGACAGAAACAGCGAAAGACAACAGACTGGACTCGCAACAAGACGGAAGCGCCACACAATATCGAATTATAGCGAGCGACGAAGTCATACGCGGGACGACTCCGCATATCAGCTCATTCCTGAATAGCCTCCCTGCCCAAAGGCGGAGTCCAACGGGAATCCTGGGGGAGAAGCTGGAGTAGAGATGCCGCCGAGCTTCACACACCCCCTCCCTCCTCCGGAGACAGCATCGAAAGGGGGAATAGCAACCTGTGCGAAACGTGGAACGACGAGACAAACCACGCAAAAGGGAGCAAGTATTGCCGATGGGGGGGTGAGACCGTCCTCCTAGGAAAACTTAGGTAAATGAAATTTACAAGCTGTCAGAGTTGCACCGGACTACACTTCCTAGATCGAATGGTACACTAATGCGAGTATCGAGCAAAAGAAGGACGTTAGGGCAACTAGCGGCGCTACGATCTGGCAGCGAGACGACCGCAGCGGCCCAATCATCGGCTACTACGTCGTGATCTTCTCGCCGGCAGCTCCATGCTTGCTTTTTCCCTTGCCGTGCCGTGGGCAGACAGAACGGACACAGAAGAGAACCGCAGAGAAACATGAGACAGAAGAGACGCATGGCCCGTCTACTGCCGACCGGAGGCTGAACTTGGCACGGCTAAGCAGGGGCGGAGCTGGCCGAAAACTGCGAGGAATCCGAGACACAGAGATCGATCGCGGCAAAGTGTAATGACTTCCTTCTGGGGTTTGGAAGAAGAAAAGAGCGAGCCTCTAATCGTACCAGCTGAGGCTCTTCGTCGACTTCGCTAATGCAGAACTTGCAGAATCATCAACTTTGCCGACACGGGTCTTTTTAGCGAAACATAAGCCGATACGAGAGACGCGGACTTCTCTGAGACATTTTAGGCTTAAATTCCCAGAGACCGAATTGTCCCCCAACTCCCGTCTTTTCCGCTGTTTTCCGAAACCGAGTTTTGCTGATACATCTATGTAGGGAGGGTTCAGCGGTAAGGCTTTTGAGACAGCGGTCAGTATGCAGACGCAGTGAGCCTGTAGAACGTTTCTTCTGGATCTGGAAGGAAAGGGTTCGTTGACGTGGGGGAGAGCGGTGTAACGGAGTTGTCCATCAACGGCTATTCGTAGAGGTGTAAGTTGACTTTTCTTTTCTTTTTCCTTCTTGGCCTGCTCTACGACAAGTCACAAACAACATGCCACAGCGTGGAGAATAGTTGGCTAATACGAGATTTGCAGAGTTTGATAGATCCAGTTCGATGGTTTAGTCGATCAACGGCCTGAGCCGGTTGTACACCACAATACAACACAATACAACTTGAATGACTCGAAGTGTAGACTTTCCCA